GGGTTCTTTAAAAATTCTACGACATTCAGAAGTTCTTGCTTTGCCTCATCGACCTATAATTTTGACAAATGTTTAGAATATTTCGAAAGAGGTATGTGCGTAAATTAGTTATATTTAGATAAAATCAATTTAACATTACAATCATTAATAATAATTTTGGAAATTGTTACCCCTTTAACGTCACTAAACGTGACATGGATGTCCTCAGGATCAATTTCAATTCTATGGCTCATAGGAAGTTTAAATATTCCTCCTCCTGGATAGCTGACTGTACAATATAAATAATTTAATAAAATTAGTAAAAACTTACAGTATAATAAAAAACAGCGTCAATTTTTATACACGTACGATAAAGCCAAATTACAAGAATAATAGTAGAGACAGTTAGTATATTCAGCATAATTTTCAGCCACGCATTTGTCCGACCTCGCATTTGGCGTTGTAATCCAGATTCATATCCTTCTACAAAAGCAATTTTTATTCTCTTCTGTTCGTCCGCAGTTGCTTCAGTATTGTTGAAGATCTGTTTCAGTTTCTCATAATCCGAACTCTTCAGCTCGGGTACTAAACCCTGCAATAATAAAATTAATTAAATTCATGTAGAAGTATTAGAATATTTCATTTGTCAATATACTTTTTAAAATAGGTTATAAAAATAATATTTTTATAAGCTAGATCATTATCAGGCATATTGTTAGATTATTTATTTGTGTAAAATATAAATATATATTGTACCATTTGTATATTAGAAGATAGGCCGAACCATTTCTTTATTCTGCTCATGAATGGTGGATTTTGTTCCAATTCCATTTTTACAGTACGTTGAGATTTGAATGTACGAATCGGCATATGATTGTGTAGCTTTTTGCCATACCATGTGTGCAGCAGTCTATGTTGCTGTTTTGTTGCTAGATGGACGACAGGTAGAATAATGGGTTCTGTAAACATGGAGCATGGAAAGTCTCGCTTGTTCTCGGCAAAACTTAGGCCGGATAAATAAGACACTCTCCATTTATTATTCTCTTCCAATGGTCTTCTAAATATACTGACAGCTACGCTATCCAGTATTAAGCACACCTTATTGTCCTTCATTTTTAACACATTTGATGTGTTTAAACTTATCTCTGGTAATTCGGTACAATTCCTCGCTGCCTAAAACAAATCAAAAATTCTGCTTACATACATAATTTTATTTTAAAACAAGCGCAACATTATAATTTTAAACTAATCAATCTTTGTATATTTTTCATTTTATAATTATTATATTTTATAATCTAATGTCTCTTTAATTATGCATCTTTGTAATCTAATCTCCTAAATTTTTTCATATATAATTTAGCTATATTAAAAAAATAGATTTATGAAAATACCTCTTCAAAACTATCAGGACAAATTACTGTCTCCTCCGCGTTTTTTTGTAAGGATTCATCGTGTTTCTTAACTTGGACTGAATATGAAGTCGTCCTAGGAGTCGCTGTTAATGCTAGTTGCGTCAGATGGTACAAGACCTAAAATTCAAAGAATATCCAAATTTATCAAAATATTTATATGATTTATTTTAAAAATACAATAAAAGGAAGTAAAACAATTTTCATTTTTTAGTTACGATTATCGACATATATGATCAATTGAAAAATTTTGTAAATAAGCAATATTGTAAATATATCATCAATTTTAATATTTTTTAATTATATTGACAGAATGTTTTATAACTATTACATAGGCACATAAAAAATAAAAAATAAAAAATTTTGATTCTGAGATAGTCTTGTTTATTTTAATGCTCTAAAATCAAATCCAAAATCCAAATTGCTCCAGCATATCACAATTTTTTTTATCGACATAGATTTTCCAGCATTTTTAACTTATCTGCTACTTCATGTTAACTTTATAAACTGGCATATTATTGCTGAACTTACTTTCTCTTTTTTACCTACTTACATAAAACCTGCAGGTCTTAAACGGCTCTAAAAATACTGGAGCTATTTTTTTGTTGGAAAAAATTATGACATGATGAAATGATACTGGACATCGGATTTGATTTTAGAGCATCAAGATATACATAAACAGTATGTTCTAATCTAAGTCTGTCCAATTTGAGTTCCAGAGCCAAAACGCAAAGCCATCGATGTAAAAAATTCAAGTGTGAGTAAGATTTCAGGGACTGAAATATTATAAGTATTGCTCGGATGTATATCAACATTTCACATTAAAATCTTACCCATATTGAAACAAAAAATCAAATTGGTCAAGCCTATTCTAATCTCTAGATCAAATATTACATTTTATTTTATATACCTATGTTAAATATACTGAATCTAATAAATCTTAGAAATAATAAATCTGACAATATATGTCGCAATTGCAATACATATCTATCATACATTTGTAATTTCAAAACAATTTCATATCATGCAGATAAAATTAGATAAAGCACACACATAAATATATGTTTACACATATATTTAATAAAAGCCAAAACGCTCTTGTGCAAGGATAGCAAATCACATGTATATGTGGGAGATAAGCAAAACATGCTGTCAGAAACATGATGTAAGACGTTGTAAGTGCAAACCTGATTGTGAGATTGGAGAGATATCATAATCGCAAGTTCCAAGACGGGAGAATTGTACGAATTTGTGTGAAACTACGACAATCTGGAGTTGAAGGAACGATCGCGCGAAAATGATAGCTCACTGTAGAAATGAGATCGAACGCGTACTGATCGTCGAGCGGTCCAGGTCGCTTTATCGTGAATCTGTTATGATCTGTTGGACAGCCGCGGTATTTCTCGCAGATATAATCACGTGACCGGTCACTTGACAATTTATTGGAACATCGAACGCGATTTTTTTTGATAATGTGTATGAGGACCGACCGTGTTTTGAACACGGAGCCAATTGATGGTTAGCCGTCAAAGACATAAACTAGGAATTTATAGATTTGCCAAGATCAATAATAATCGATAATATGGCCTAGTTCATTTGATGCTACACATACTTTGAAGCATTTTTTGATTGGTCAGTTAGTGAAATTCTCTCTTTCAATTGACTAATCAAAATGTTTCAAAGCATTCTAGTGCCAAGTAGATCGCACTCCAGTATATTATAGAACAAACCTATTATCAGATTAGTAGTATATCTATAAGTTTGTTCTCTGACAGCTCTAAAATATTCCTACTATAATATTTACTCATTCTAATGCTCTCGTTGAAGTGAGTAGAAATAATTATAGCAGGAGCACATTGGAGCACGTTGGAACATGCGACGCAAACAAACTTTATATGCATGGAATTATCATCATGGTTCAAAAATATGTCCAAGATACGTATGAGAGAGAAAGATATACATATGTAAAGATGCGTATAAGGACAGATAATAAATATGGAACATTCGTCCTCTTTGCGCATGTTTTAAAAGACCGAACGTGTATGTAAGGTATTCCAAAATAATCGCCAAATATTTCATGGACAAGTAGAGCGGACTAACTGAATCGAAAAGTCCTCTATCATTTTGCAATTTTCGTAATAAGTTAACAAGATATTAATTATTTAAATATTGTCGAAAATTGATCTTCATTAATTTTTTACTCAAATATTATAAATTTTATAGAAAAACTGCAAGAGACAAAAATTATTTTTTTCTTATAGAACTCTAAGAATTTTTTCAGAATTTTTTCAGAATGTTTTAATACTGTTTTTTTCTCATGTTGGTAAAAATAAGAAAATGCAGTACTAAAAAGTTAATAAAAAATTCTAAAAAAAAAAATTCTTAGAGCTCTATGAGAAAAAATAAACAATTTTTGTCTGTAAAGTTGACTATTTGAGTAAAAAATTATTGAAGACCAATTTTCGACAATTTTTAATAATTAATATCTTGTTAACTATTGCGGAAATTGCAAAATGATAGAGAATTTTTTGACTCAATTTAATCCGCTCTACCTGTCCATGAAATATTTGGCGATAATTTTGGGACACCCTGTATATTCTATGCGGCAATTGTAAGAATTAAATCAGTTTCTTATCATTCGTAACTTTTGTAAGTAAATATATATGAAACAATTTGTATCCATATGTATATTACAAGATTAATAAAATTTAATTCAATAAAATTTTGTTGCATACTTCGAATTAAGATTTAGATTAGAATTGTGTCGAATACAATCTTTGAACACACATATAATTAAGTATCTAAAAATTTAATAAATTATACATTGTCATTCTGATCCGATTTAAACTCTCGGTGGAAACTAAGCCACTGTCTCCAGATATCACAGAACGTCATAATCAAGTCATAATAATGGCACTGTTCGTATTTTAGCGCCGAGATATTACTAGTGTCTCCAGATATCACAGAACGTCATTATGACATCATTTAATACCTAAAAATTGACTTATAAGTGACGAATGAGGTCATGATGATGTTCTCATGATTTTTCTGTGTTCTACTTGGGATAAAGGACTAAGATAATAATGATGATAATTATAATGTTCAACACTATTTTGCAAGACGACTATGAATAACTTTCGACATATTTTTGCCTACTGAATACAAATCCAGATTTGATCATAAGATATATATAACGTTTCAATTAAAAAAAAAAAAAAGAGGCTAAGAAACGTATGATTTTAAGAATTTTCATGACATTATATAACATTTGCAGGAAATTTTATAAAAAATCAATTCAATCATAGTCGATTATTTTCTATTATATTTGACTGTGGTTGGCTGCACACAGCTTACGGTTTAAAGTTTCCTATCTATTATAAATGTTTCGGGAATGATTACATTCACTGCGAGTACTAAAATTTATTCATATTACGAATACATACAGCTTTTCAATATTACAGATTTTCAATAGTGAACAATGAAACGTAATCAATATCGATATTATCAATATCAATAAAAATATATCCAAATATAATCTCGTAATGTATAATTTTGAACATTTAAATTTTTCACTCGACCATAACGAAGCACAGATACTAGAAATGACGCCGGAACTCGATTTATTCACATTTCGATGCGGGGGCGGCTTGCGGGTGAACCGCGAATAGACTTCGTCGTCCAATCGGTCCAATGCGGTGATGTGGAGCATCTGCGAAGTTTTCTCACAGTTCGTGGACGTACATGCGGTGTTTGTGTAGCAGGTTACGCTGCGCTCTCCGCGAAATGACGTTTGTTGCTAAATATTGGCCGCACCGGAGCAAGCAGTAAACCGCCGTGATATCCACTGCCGTAGTCTCTCCCTACGTCGAAGACTAGGTACGAGTGTTGGAATCATCTGCGACGGTCCGTCCGTCCGTCCGTACGCACGTCGCATACCGTAGGCACCGTCGTGCGCCGGACTGAACCCTCGCGACTGCGACAGGAACGAGCGAGCGCGGCGGTGAGGTTAGAACGTGCGAAAGTCGAGCTGAAGAAATCGACGTACGCGCAGCCGATGCTGACTCCCCGACTCAGTGAAGGTAATTCGCGGACGGCCGTCGCGTCCAGCACGGTCGGCGTGGCGCGTCGCGACGCCGCGCGGCGCCGTATCGCACGCGCGTGTCCGGACGTCGCGTCGCGACACCGTCGCCGCCACTGCACGCTACCGCGAGTTGTCTGACCTAACCTCTTCTCGCCTAATCGTTCGCTCTCCTCGCGCTGTCGCTCGTTTTTGCACGCCTGCATGCGTCACTTTGCCCTGTCGGATTCATCCCATCGTCCTATTCCTCATATTCTACCAATTTGCCCCCACGCGGGCCGACCGCGACGACGGTCTCTGCTTGTTTACCACTACTTTCCCCTCCCCAACGATAGATCGTCCCTCGCGTCATTCGTCAGTCGTGGATGAGACAGACGTCAATTGGCCTCGTCGAGCACGAGATATCGTGAGTCTGACGAAAAACGCGTATTAATTGTAATCAGTAGTGATCCTCATAGTGATCGTAATGGCGATTTAATTGTGTGTTCGATGGTAAATGATTCTCGTAAATAAACGTGCGACTTGATTAGCAGTAGTAGTAGTTTATATTGGTTGCTTGTTTCTTGGAGAGATGATGAACCATTTTTGTTATGACTCCTGAATACTTTTATGCTGGCTGCAGATAAATTTACGGATGTAACATCTGATACATGTACTTTATATAGGTTGTTAGATAAAATGCAACGAAACGATGAGTTTGTAAACATGTACATCTATTTGACAGTTTTTGAACGAGGAAGTAACATTTAATTTTGTCTCATTTTTTACGTTATTATTTAACATATATATTTAAGTAATATGAATAATTTATTAATTTAACTTGATTTGATTATGAACAGAAATTTGTACGCACATCTGTACATGTGATCAAAAATTTGAAGCTTATATGCAAAAAGCCTAATTTATGTATAAATACACATTTAGGCATCACCAAGTGTCTTATAAATTTGTAATTATAAATGTTGAGATATTGCAAAAAATGCATATGTTTAAGAAATAAAATATTAATTTTAATTAAATAAACGTAACATTTATTTAACATGTGTAAAGCAAGAATATATATAGATGTATTTAAGATACATTCTTAATTAAAGATACATTTTTTATTTTCTTTATTCTATTTGTAATTTTATTTGTCACATTTTCTTTTTTTCTTTGATTTGCAATCTGATATATGTACTTGATATGTGTATCTTTCTAAAATATATGTATTTGACATATATATCTTTCTAAAAAAAAGTTCAGAAAGGAAAGCAAATTATTTTATGTCTGGAATATATTTATATTAAGATAATACATAATTTTTGAGATTTTTATTAATTAATAATATAATAATAATAATAATAATGATAATCCATGTGTGATATCAAGGATACGAACGATTGCCTTTCTCTTCTTTATTTTTATTTCTATTTCTCTCTTTTTCGGCATCTTTTTCCAAGCTTTTTTCTTTGATTTTTTTTTTCTTTCGTACCTATTCTTAGGCCGTGTTCCGATATACATCGCCAATAGTATGATACTTGAATGGAGCGCAGTCTCTAGAATAAATTGATTGATTGATTGATTGAGCGTTTATTTTAAATCTATAGGACAAATACTCTAAGAATTTTAAATACAAGACAAAGCACTGAAAAAAAAGAAAACATAAAAAGGAGTAAAAGTCAATTTTTAGCTTCTGATTTCTGATTTATGACTAA